TAAAGTTTGACAGGTGAGAGGTAGGCTTCCTGTGGGGAAAACAGCAAAAGGAGAACTCTGGAGAAGAGATGCTAGAGCCACTAAAGCTGAGGGGTCTCTGCCCACCTCTGCCTGACACACATCCTCCTCCACCCCACCCTCCCTGAACTGTTTCATTTCCTTCCAGAAAACTTTGTTTTGGTTTGATATTTGCCTCTAGGCCTCTGGGAGAATTTTCTGAGCTTTGTTTCTCTTCTTGTTTCTAGGATACCTGGGCTGCTCCCAGAGCAACAAAGCTCAGTAGGAACAAGAGAGTGGGGGTGGGGGTGTTAGGATCACCAGATAGGGAGAGAGGGAGGGAGGGAAAGAGCCTGCTTGGCTCACACAGACTTTGGTGGCCCCCAGATACCCAGAGGCACATCAGGGAGCTCTAGCATAGAGCAAAACTAAAGACCCAGAAAGGGGCCACTTGCAAAGAGAGTACTTAAAGTTCTAGGAAATCAAAAGGTCAGGGAGCAGACTGGGGCGCTGCCCAGGGCTGGCCCAAGACAAGCACACTGAGGAAATCTACCAGAGGTCACAGCAGGGAATCTTCCATACAGCACCTGGAAGGATAATGACTGGCAAGCACATGAGCCAGGCTGGGACCTGCCCTTAAACAGAAGCACACACCCTTAAAGGCGCCACGCCTAGGGTCCAGGGGCATATGGGGAAGAGAGGGGGAGCAGGGCTCCACAACTCCAAGAGCAGAATCACAGGGCTCAGAATGCACTGAGCAGAAGCTCAGGCCTTTCCTAGCCAGCCCCAGCCCCACCTCCAACAAGAAGGAACCTAGCTTTCCCAGGCAGAGGCAGGCACGACTGGAATTCCCCTGAGGCAGGCTGCACAGGGTATCCAGCAACAGAAGTCATTCATCAACTTGCTTCTAGAGGGGTAGAAGGAGGTCAGTTCAGCTTCTGCACGGTAAAGCCAGTGCAGCTCCCACAGCATCCCCACCAGATATCAAATGTCCAAGGGACACTCAGGAGAGACACTGACCCCAGAACCCAGAAGCAGAAATCTCCCTGGCATAGACTGAGATGCCCATAAATTGGGCATTTCTCATTCAGATGTTAAGTAGACAGTTCAGGGGAAAAGCAACTTTTCAAAATGAGCAAAATGTCTGGTCTTCCTCCATTTTAAAAGAGCTACCCTGGCAAGTGTGGCTCAATTGCTTAAGCTCTTTGAAACTTAGTTTCTAAAATATAGGACAATAACAGTACCAACCTCACAGGGCTGCTCTGAGCATTAAATAAAATAATTCCTGTAAAATGCTTAACAAAGTGCCTGGCACATAATAAGTTCTTGATAAGGTAGCTTTTTTAATGGGATGCTAAAACTAAGAAAACCATATCTGGTACAAAACCTAACTGTGAAGCTCACACTGTGTAAGTCACACTGGAGAACCAAGCTGAGGGTAGGGCAAGAGAAGGAGAACAGTGGCCTTCCCATTTTCATGTTTCTATGCCCAGCAGCAAAGAACAGAGGCTTACCACACCAGAAGGGGCCCCAAGCCTCCAAAAGAAACACTTCTGCAAAAGCCTAAAGAAATGATGGTTGGGGGCTTCTCACCTATAAGAGCAAAGGAGTGAAAAGGCAGCAAGAACACCAGCCCCAGAATCCTACTTTTCTTCCATGGCACTGACATCTCTCAAAGTGACTAGAGTAGACAAATGTTCAGAGCAGCATTTTTCCTAATAGCCAAAAAGCAGAAACAATGTCCATATGCTCATCAACTGATGAAGAAATAAAATGTGGTACTTTATCTCTAATGGAAGGTTAGTGGCCATAGAAAGGAATGAAGTACTGATACCTACTACAACATGTATGAACCATGAAAAAAAGTCACAAAAGGCCAAATATTATATGATTCCATTTACATGAAATATGCAGAACAGACATATCTATATAGACAGAACATAGATTAGTTGCTGCCCAAGGATGGAGATCTTAGGGGGAAATGGAGAGTGACTGCTAAAGAGTATGGGGTTTCTTTTTAGGGTGATGAGAATGTTGTAGAATTGATTGTGGTGATAGCTGCACAACTCTGTAGATACACTAAAAACCACTGAATTGTGCATTTTAATGTTTTAATATGTTTTTATTGATTTTTTTAGAGAGATAGAAACATCAATGAGAAACATTGATTGGCTGCCTCCTGCACACTCCCTACTGGGGATCGAGCCTGCTACCCAGGCATGTGCCCTGACTAGCTAGAATCCAAGCCGTGACCTCTTGGTGCAGGGGATGATGCTCAACCAACTGAGCCACACCAGCCGGGCTTACCAGTGCATTTTAAATGAGAGAATTGTGTGGTTTATGTATTACATCTCAATAAAGCTGTTTTTTAAAATTACTACAAGGTAGATATTAAAGATGTTATTGGGAACTGTGTATAATATAAAACATCAATCTATATGTGTGAGTAGGAATGGATGGCCAAAAAGCCAGAGCCTTTTCCTGGCCCTGTATCTCCTTTACAAAAATGGCACTGAAACATTAACCTGGATATATATCCCAGAAAATACCAGAAAACCCCTGCCCAGCCCAACTGGTTTAGCATGGCTATAAACTCCCATGCAATATGACTTCTTCCAAGGTACTTACCCAGCTGGGTAGGCAACTAAACCAGATCGGGGGTCACAGGCAAGTCCTCTGCCCCCAGACACTGTTATTCCAAGTACCTTCTCCAAGGTCACCTGTTAGAGCAAGAGAGAGAAGTGGCATGTTAGGGACAGAATGGGGTTGGAACAGAGGTACTGAAGATACTCAGGATCATCCTGTAGTTCTACTTTCCTGATGCCCCTGTCTTCAGGAGAATGGGCTACTGACTTTTCCAGGTTCTGTTCTGGCCACAGGCCGCTTGATTACATGGAAGAAAGCTAGTGTGCATCACTGCCTTTTAGCAGAGCTCAATCTGCTGGTACCACGGGAATGAAAATGAAGGGGTTAAAGCTCTGCTCATGGACAGAGGAAAAAGCACTCTCACAATCCAGAAAGGCTCCTTTTACAGGATAAAGCCTTGGGTCCCCAGACTGGCTCTTGGGTAGATGATACTCAGGGGAGGTCATTGATCTTCGTGCCTTGGCAAGCATGAAAGAATGGCCACTCTGATCTACCAAGAGCCAGAAAAATGTTAGGTATCAATTAGGTGACTAATAATATCCCTGATCTTTGCATTCTATCACGTTCTTCCCTCCATCAGAGGACTCCATCCCCACCCAAATGTCTGCCAGTTCATACAGACTATGAGCCTAGGAGGCAGAAACATGGTTTAATGCTGTATTTTGCTAAGCACAGATGCTCAGAGTAACTCTAATTATTATTATTAAGCCACAACTCCCACAGAAATGAAAGGGAAACGTGTAAAGTACTCAGAGATTCTGAGAGGACATGGCCACACAAGATATTCAGCATCACTCTCATCATCACTATTGTTATCCCACATGTCTGCAGTCCCCAGGGCACACATTGGACTACCCTCAAATAGTTTACTCGTCTTTCTGCCAGATGATGCCACGCGAGATTCAGACTGCCCTGTAACCTCTTGCCTGTCACTAAATCTTACCCCTTGCTACAGAATGTCTTGCTCGTTACTCCAGGTCCAGTCTTCTCTAGTGCTATCTGGATTCCCTGCACTGTCGCTGGCTCAAAGAAATGGGTTTCTGAATTTGAATTGCCAAGTAAACCAGCTAGACTGTTCTCTGTTAAGGGAGTCTCAGGGGTCCCAGGAAGGCGATGTAAATCAGAAACACTTGACGGGTATTCATATCTGTGGCAGGGTGATCTACTCTTAGTCCAGGCCAGTTTCCAGAGAGGGGAAGCCCAGAATCAATTAGGGTAGTTCTAGGGTCACTCCTTCTCTCTTACTGTCCCACCTGGAGAATTTGAAGTGCTCCTAGAGGGATTTTTAAATTCTCATCTCCAAGGACCATTTTAGTTTAAATTAGGTTCGAAGGAAATGCTCTTTGGCTGCTAAGACCAAAATAAGTCTTTTGGGACATTATAGTTAAAACCTATTTCCCAGAAGGGTCCCCAAGAGTCTTCTGTGCTCCTTGGGGATATGGACGGATTCTCAGTCTACTCACAAAGAGGCAGTCTACTTCTAGGGCACCAGACCAACCCATAGCTCCCTGGCAAGCACCACACTTGCCACTTACCCGTGGGCGTGTCTGAGGCACCAAGCCTAGTGTGGGATACACTAACTTTAGCCTACTCAACACATTTTTTATTTTTTAATTGTTTATCAAGAAAAAATATTCCTTAGCCCAAATATTCATGTTTCATAGTTCAGGAACACAGGTCAGTAATAAACTTCCATGGAACTCAACCCAAAGAAATTCTTTACATTTGAAAATCACTTTACACTCTGAAAGATACCAGCTTTGCTCATCACCTCAAAATCATGCATGGAATCATAATTTTTTTTTAATCCTCTGAGGATATTTTTTCCCATTTCTTTTCAGAGAGGGTGGAAGGGAGAGAGAGAAAGAGAAACATCAATGAGAGAGAGAGATATCAGTTGGCTGCCTCCTGCACATGCTCCGATCCCTGACTGGAGATGGATCCTGCAAACCGAGGTACATGCCCTTGGCCAGAATCGAACCTGAGACCCTTCAGTCCACAGGCGGACGTTCTAACCACTGAGACAAACCAGCTAGGGCTAGAATCATAATTTCTGTAGAAATTTCTGTATGTCTTCTTTCTTGGTTCTGCCACAGCAAATGTATCACTCTGACAATATGAAATCGCTGACACTTGGCCAGAAGGCCACACATCTGAGGTTTTGTCAAAACACTGGGAGGCATGGTAATTGTATTCTCCTTAACACCAACATCCTTCCTGATAGAGAAATGGATCCACAATACGTTCTTTTTGTTGTTAAGGGCAATACATTCTTGCTAGTGTGCCTTATCATATGCCTTCTTCCATACTTTTTCTCAGCTTAATGACCCCCTGGCACTGGCAGGAGAGCACAAAATAACCCTGGGGAAATGTGGGGGTCACTCAGTTCAGAACACCACTCCCTATCCTGGCACTGTGCCTCTGGCTATCCCAGAGGGAGGGATGTTCAGGAACATTACTGCTGCACCAACTGCCTACTACAGAGAAGAAAGAGAAAAGCTCGCAGCCACATTACCCACATAGGGGGAAGGTCATAAAATCAAGTACAGTGAGTTAAAAGGCTGTTCAAGTCCTATTTCCTTCAAGCTAATCTGATTTCAGACAAATCTTTTGGATTCAAATTTGCATCAATCCCTCCCTTTGCTTCAACTTGGTCTGTTGATTCTCAGCTTCCCTTTCCTCTGACAGGAATTTGGGTAGGTGTTTTGTGGGTAGATGATCCAATTCCATAGAGAATTGATTCTGAAACTAGCCTGGACCTTTCACTAACAGTTTAAAGCAGGAAGGAGAAGTGAGTTACTCAGATCCTAAAGACTAATGTTTATCAAAGGTTTCTTTCTTTTTCTTTTTTTCTTTTTTTTTTAAAATATACCTTTATTGATTTCAGAGAGGAATGGAGAGGGAGAAAGAGAGCTAGAAACATCAATGATGAGAGAGTCATTGATCGAGCCCACAACCGGGCATGTGCCCTGACTGGGAATCGAACCCCGATCGCCTGGATCCTAGGTCGACGCTCAACCGCTGAGCCACGCCTGGCCGCGCTATCAAAGGTTTCTGACCACAACCCACAATAAGAAACACATCTTATATCATGACGCAGTATATACCCCACATGTATGTGTGTGCATGTGCATAAAATTGAAATAAAAGTTTCACAAAACGCCCGGACAGGCATGGCTCAGCAGCTGAGCATTGACCTATGATCCAAGAGATGACGGTTTGATTCCTGGTCAGGGCACATGCCGGGTTGCGGGGCTGGATCCCCAGTCAGGGGCGTGCAGGAGGCAGCCGATCAATGACTCTCTCACCATTGATGTTTCTATTTCTCTCTCTTCCTGTCCCTCTGAAATCAATAAAGATTTTTTTTTTTTAAATGGTTTCACAAAACAATACTTTTATTGCATGTAGTACTGTATGCAATCAATAATGTAACATTCTATTTTCTATTTTATTCTATTTTATTAAAAAATGATTCTGGTCTAGCGGGCAAGGCTCAGCAGTTGAGCAGTGACCTATGATCCAGGAGATCAAGGTTCAATTCCTAGTCAGGGCACAGTCCCAGGTTGCAGGCTTGATCCCCAGTGGAGGGAGTACAGGAGGCAGCCTATCAATGACTCTCTCATCATTGATGTTTCTGTATCTCTCTCCCTTCCTCTCTCTGAAATCAATAAAGACATATTTTAAATAATAATAATAATAATTCTGGTCATGCCCCACTTTATTGATTTTATGACCTACAAAATGGCTGGAAGCTAGCTACAGTTTGAGAAACCCTGCTATAGATCATCATTTTCTGCAGGGCCTGAGTTTCAGGCTCTGACCTCTGGGACCTTTGTGTTCCCCAGTCACTTTCCTCCTAGGATTCTCAGCAGTGTACAGACATCTGGGCTAGGAAACCCCATGGCAGGAGTTTGCCTAGGCTCAAAACTTGGCTTATTTTCTAAGGATTTGTGGGTTTTGGCTTTTTTGGGCTTTCTGAGCAACTAGCTATCCAAGGGGAAAGCAGGGGGAGGCAATTTCCTTTGGCTCAGTGGAGGGGAAGAGGAGGGGAAAAACATTTGGGGGCATCAGCTGGTTTTTATTTTATGTTCTAACTCAAACCAGCTTCCTGTTTGCAGGGAGGTTTTGGGCTGAGCTCCACTTTCAAAGGATCTGAGAGTTCAGAACTCCTGAAAGCCTCCAACATCTAGGTCTATTTTGCAAGGCTCCATGGGCTTTATAAACAGAGCATGGTTTCCATCTACCCTAGAAAATGGAGACAAACCTGGACCCTCCCTGCAAACACACCACAGGCTAAAGGCACCCAACTTCTTGCAGTGGTGTGCTGGAGCCGGTTTGCACTGGCTCGAGAGAGCTGATCATGCACATCTTTTCCCACCTCCACATTCAGTGGCAGCACATTGGTAGCTTAAAATCACCATGGTGGGAGTACTTACACCATGGAAATCAGCAAACACTACATATCAGAGTCCTTCCCCC